AAAATCAATTAATGACAAAGATTTTTCCACTTTTCAACAAAAGATTTTTCAAAGAAAAAAATCATTTCATTAATTAACAATTTTGCCTTCATTGAAAAAAGTCAATTAATGAAAGTCAGTAGATCAAAGGACAAAAGAGTGCTAATCAAATAGATCCTGAAAAGCTTTCAGACAAAATGTATACTCCTTCATTGATGAAAGTACTCAAGCTAGCAGTAGAAGGAGTCTTTTTTTGTTTTTTTTTTGGTTTTTTTTACGAGACAGGGTTTCTCTGTAATGTTTTGGAGGCTGTCAGTCCAGGCCGGCCTCGAACTCACAGAGATCCACCTGCCTCTGTCTCCCAAGTGCTGGGATTAAAGGCATGTGCCACCACCGCCCGGCATAGGAAGTCTTATTTAACTTGATTGGATGTCTCTTCTAAATCCTACATGTGTCATCCTAGATCAGGAATTATAAGGACATAGTCTGCTCTCACTGTTTGTATCAGAGTTATATGGAGAATTGGGCAAAGCAATGAAAAACAAAAGAAAGGGAAAAGAGCAGACACCCAAATGGTCAGGGAAGTAAATCTGTCATGATCTTACAAGGACACTTGAGCCTCTTGTCACCAGTCCTTATGGCCCCATTTGGATCCCCAGGACCTACAAGTTGGAAGTCCCCAGAGAACCAACTCCCTCAAATTGTCCTGGTATTCACCTACATGTCCTGACATGCGTACACACACACACACACACACACACACACACACACACACCAAATTATTAAATGACTAGATGTGATTTTTAATTTAAATGCTGTGAGAACTAATAAAAAACAGATTCAACAAAGTTTTGCAATGTAAGTCAACATAGAGTCATCACTTGTACCTCAGACAGTAAAGGTGAACCCAACAAACATGAAAATTTAGAAAGGCATTTTAATAGCACCAAAAAAGAGTAAAATACTTACATTTATACAGTTGAGGGTTTAGGGTGTAGCTCAGTGGTAGAACATGTATTAGCTTAAAAAAGCAAACAAACATGGGTTAAGTTAAAAAGATAGGTGTGGTGGTGCACACTTTTAATCCTAGGACTCAATTTTCTCTTTTTCTCTCTTTGTAATATTTATTATATATAGTATTCTGTCTGCATGTATGCCTGAAGGCCATAAGGGGACACCAGATCTCATTATAGATGGTAGTAAGCTAACGTGTGGTTGCTGGGAATTGCACTCAGGACCTCTAGGAAGAGTAGCCAGTGCTCTTAACCTCTGAGCCATCTCTCCAGCCCATTAATCCCAGCATTCAAGGAGGCAGAGGCAAATGGATCTCTGTGAGTTCAAGACCAGCCTGGTCTACATAGCAAACTCCAAATGAGCCAGGGCTACAAAATGAGACCTTGTCTCAAAAAAACAAAACAAAACAAAAAATTGGTTCTTTAGTTGTACCAGCCACATTTCATACCCCACAGCCACATGTGACGAGTGCCCAAAGCACAGCCTGGCACAGACATTGACCATTCTCAGCATCTTGGAGAGTCCCACTAGATACTGAAGCTTTAGGGACAGGCTCAACCCATGGGGCAGTTGGCAAGGGTGTCACTGCAGATGAATGGAGAAAGGACAGTCTTGGTACTAAATGGCTTTAGACAGTTAAAAGCCACATTCGAAAAGAAGAAGAAAGTGTTCTTGATCCCTACCTCTCTTCATAGACAAAAATCAGCCCCACATGGGTTTCAAAATCAAATATTTGAGAAGGGTGTTGGATTTTCACCAATGGAATACTCTCCAGTGAACTGAAGCAGAGGAAATACCAAAAGCAGGCTGATGTCCACGGCTACATACAATCTCGGGGCACTTTCTGTGGACACATTTTATCAGAGTAGACATTTTTGAACTAAAAGGAGTCAGAAATGAGAGTAGCCTACTGTATCTCTCTGTTCACACTGGTCCAAAGCAGACAGGGGCATCTTTGCTATGCACAGTTGAGTCAGTGGGTACCTGGGTGGAGGAGGGAGCATCTGGAGGTCCTGTGAGTCCCGGAGCCCTGGTGGTGTCCAAGCTCGTGTGTATCAAGCTGCACACCTGTGAGCTATGTGTTTTTCTCTCCGGGACATAAAAAGGTGTTTATAGAAACCCCTTTCTTTGACATGAAAAATGGTCCTTACTGAATACATCCTTCATGACAATAAAGTTTTTTCAAGGATTTTTAGGTGGTACAGAGGAATGGAGATATTACTGATAGGAGAGCCAGTTGATATGATGGAAAAGCATGGACCTTGCCAGTAGTCAGTTCTAGACGCAGACCCCAGAGAAGCTCCATCCCTTGTGCATAAGAAGTAGACAGCGGTACTCAATGTAGGATAACCAATAACAGACTCTAGATCAAACAGCTTGGGAAGGTCCACAGAGAAATTGATTAACAAGGTGTGGTGTTTTGTATAGCTCAACAGTGAAGGGGAATATATGCATTTATATAATTATAAAATCTGAAGAGGGAATGATAGTTACATACTATGTATAATAGCACATGTAATATATAATATATAATAACACGTGAAGCAATGTTGTGTGTACTCTTTGGTACACCCACATGGCCCTGCGCTTTGACATGGCTAAGGATGCTTGGAAGCTATAGCAGCCACAGCACCTGGGACAGTGGACAAGAGAGCTGAATAAGGAGGACAGAAGAAACTTCAGCTTGATCTTGTCCAGTTTCTTTCATCTGAGAAGCCGATGTGAGGCTGGTGATGGTTCAGGGGGTAAAGGCACCTACCGCCAAGACTCTGGACTCAAGTTCAATCCCCTGGACCTACGTGATGGAAGCAGAGAAATTACTCTTTCAAGTTGTTCTCAGACCTCCACATATCACAGTGACACACGTGTGCATAGGCTCACACACATTTACACCCACATACATACACGGGCACACAAATGTGTACAAAATAAGTAAAATGCAGTAAGTTTTTGAAGCAAATGTGGCAAAATATTAATATCTGTTTGCTGGTGGCAACTCTAGGATGTTAGCTTTTTTTGACCTCTTTGTTAAGTCACTCAAAATAAAAAAAAAATAAAGTTCAGATAATAGCATTATTCATCATTTAGTCTTAAACATTGTTTAGGTATTTTCTGTTCCTACTTGTTTTAAGAAAAAAATGTGTATGAATGTAAGCAGGGCTGAGATAGCGGCTTCCTTTCTTTTGTTTATGTTCACCAAAACACACTTGTTTTATTTAACATCCGAAATGTTTGATATTGAAATGTGGCCTTTATACAAACTCACGAGGGGTGAGACAAGAGGATTACAGTTTTATCACAGCCTGTGTGCCACGAACCTGCTTCCTGTGATACCCGTCCCCCCACCCACCCACTAAAGCATCCCTTTGTGTTACAGCCAAAGTATTTGCAAGCAAAGAAGCAAGAAATCATAAAGGTTTTCCTTGTGGGTGCTTACTGAGACGGGAACCACTGATGTGTACTGGATCAGTGCCCAGACTCTGAACGACTGACAAGGGTTAGGACTCTCACCTTTTCCACGGCCTGTGGAGCCTGTGCCAACCTCTGCATTGGATCCAGGGAGCCCCAGAGTTCTGGAGGAATGGAAGGCATGCCACAGCACACAAAGTCTGGTGTTTGTCCAGCCTGGTCAAGACCTTCCTCCTCCCTTCCATCACCTTGGTGGAGTGTACACTTGGTTGTTTTAGTTTTGTTCGGCAGGGCCAGGGCCTTGAACGTGCTAGGCAAGAGTCCTGCAGCTGAGCCACACCTCCAGCCCTGCTCAGTTTAGTTGTTATGGGTTTGCACTCTTTACAGACATGACCACACACTGAGACTGGCCACCTGTCAGTAACCCTCTGCAGAGGCCCCCAGACAATTGCCTTGACCATATTTGAAAAGTTAAACTTAGAACAGACTAAATATTATACAGTGAGGTCCAGAATGGAAGCTTATAAATATGTAAATATGTATGCATAGTCATGAATGCACCCATCCCCTGACCTCGTGAGTCAACCAATGTCCTCAGCTGAGGCTGAACTTGACTTCACATAGAGCATTCCTCTCTGCAGCAGATGGGAGGAAGTTAGCCTAAAAGGAGAGACTGGGCATGCTCAGCTTGGGCCTCTTTCCGGTTCTAAGTTCAGAGCTCTGGATGTATGTAGACAGTCTGTCCTCACTGTGCGCTCTAAAGGGGCCCTGGGCATGTCCAGCAAGTTCAGTAGTGGTGGCTGAGTAAGTCAAGGGTCAATTATTAGCAACTCTTTCCACCGTGACCTGAAGCCATGGCCTCTGTGGGTGATTTATCAGTACAAAAGGTGATAGTTTAGGTCAGTCTGCCTCTGTCTGTGAAGTGGTTCTAAACTCAAGGTGGGATGAGTATTAATGACTCCTCCCTCAGAAACTTGGTCAATTGCTGGAAGACCTTAAAGTGATAAATCAATATAATCCATGCTACCTCCTAATAGTTTATATACCATAGTTATTCTGTTGAATAGTTAAAAGCTTTGCTCACCAACTTTTAAGTTTCACAAATGGTTTAAAGCTGAATATATCCTGGTTTTTTTGTGGTGTGCTTAACCTATCCTAGCTTGAGACAGACATCGGTAAAGTGTGCATTTATAATTTAATGTACTATCTGCAAAGGTATAAGCATTCCCAGAAAATGTACTTCACTTAAACATTTAAGAGTAAAAAGAGCACACACACAGCGCCCAGCTCAGTTGCTGTAACAGACTCTGCTATGCACATGGCTTCTGTGTCTTGGCGGAAGGCAGTGGTTTTAAGGCTGGATTAGTCTTTTAATCTCTTTGGGGTTTGCTTTATATTTGTGGTGGTTTATGACTGACATCTAATGTAACTATACTTTCTGTTTATATTTAATAAAAGATTCGTTTCTGTGGCAGGACGCTCATTTGCACTGTGCTGTTGAACAAAAGCTACTGTTCTGCAAGAAGGGTATAAAATGTTGATTTATAATGACACAGGCCAATAACAGCAATGTAATTCTTCCAACTATTTCTTCCCAGGTCCTGGCACGAGCATGGCTGAAGCAAAGAATGATTCTTTTCCTTTAGAATATTCTCCCTTTAATACGTCTATCCATGCTGGGATCAGATACAAAAACTGGAAACTCCTCACAGGCTACCCAGGTAGGTTGCTTAGCTCCCTTCCTACAGCTGCCGGGGCAGGGGCTGTGTCCTCAGTCTTTCTGTCCTCTTGGGACTTCTTTCTGCGGGCCATTCTCATAGAAAGGGAGGTGCTTATCACTGTGCTCTAAGCCGTCTCCTTTCCTAGCTCCTCAAGGCTCCTTGCCAAACCCCTTGTTTGCTGAGACATCTGAAATGCTAACTAGCCCTTCAGATCTTTTATGGTCCCCGCAGATCTTAAGAAAGCAGCTATCTACTTGGGGTTTCATGGCCTGTCTGGCCCGTATTACACAACTTCTTCTGTTGTCATGGCCTAAGTAGACTTCCCACCAAAATGAAGGCTGCCCTTTTTTCTTTCAATAATAAAAATGTCCTCGTCTCTCTGAGGCTGCAGAGTGGAGGAATGGCTCCCACTGCTCAATCTGAACTTCCTCTGTTCCTCTGAGTTTGGGTTTTTGTTTTGTTTTTAATTATCCATTATGGGGGTGAGAGGAGAAAATCCCACCTGGACGATACCTGTGTACGGATTTCAGACTTGTGTGGCTGTCAGACACAGCACACCTAGCCTAGTCAAGAGCCTCCACCAACGCTGTGTCTGCTTCCCTTACACCACTCTCAGAAGGGACATGTACTTACACAGGCTCTGGCGCAATTAACCATGCTTAGCTTGTAGTGTTCTTGGTGTCTACGATGACAATTCGCTGTTTGGGATTGTCCCGTGCATTGCACTGTGCTGTGCTAGCTAAATACTGGGAGTATATTCATCTCCCCCAACCCCAGCCACTGTGACAACTACAATTCTCTTGCCTCCATCCCACCCATGCTTTTAATGTCTCTTGTTGTAAAGTGATAGGATCTGTCCCATTAAAGTATGGAAATCATATTCTGAGACAAAGCTAGAATCAACACCAGGAGACAGGTGGGGATTTTTGTTTCTGTTTCTGTTGTTTCTGTTGTGACTGTACCACAGCCCAGGAAGCCTTGTCCCCCCGATGCCCTGAGATTAGAACCCACGGCAACGTTTCTCCCCCAGTGAAGTCTCATGTCTTTTTCCAGGCTGTGGTCTCTGGTTCCCACCTCCATCTCAATCCAACGTTTCTGAGATACGTTCACTGGACTCATCAGCCAAGACGCTCTGGCTGTTTGATGTAGATCAGGACCCTGAAGAAAGACACGACCTGTCCCAGAAGCACCCCCACATCGTCCTGAAGCTGCTTTCCCGCCTGCAGTACTACCATGAGCACTCTGTGCCGTCGTACTTCCCACCCATGGACCCTCGCTGTGATCCCAAGGACACCGGTGTGTGGAGCCCCTGGATGTAGGCTCCAGAGGGGCGGGGGTCTGGAGCACAGTTAGGTGCAGGCTAGACCTCAGGCCCCTACTCTGCTGACTTCTCTCTCTCTCTCTCTCTCTCTCTCTCTCTCTCTCTCTCTCTCTCTCTCTCTCTCTCTCTCTCTCTCTCTCTCTCTCTCAAGTCACCCCAGTTCCCTCGCCTAGCCCTCATGCTATATAACCCACCAAAGGAGTCCTGTTTCAAACCACAGTACCGTAAAATCTGGCTCATCCTGCTGTTGGCTGGAGTAGGTGTCTGGAACCCAGGGTGGCTGGGTTCATCCTACTTCCTAAACTGCAATCGCTGGGAACCTGACGTAGAGAGCTAGCTATCCCTGAGTCCTGAGGCCAGAGCAGCTGGCTCTTTTTGCTTCACAAGTCAGTCATTAGAACTCCCTCTGCTAATAACCAGTTTTATTGGCAAGACACACATAACAAAGGGAGCAGATGATTGCGAGTGGTTCTGCTGGCCATACGGGCTCCCTGTCTGTGAGATCTTGTTCAGCTTTCCACATCCATGACCCGCCCGCTCACCCCTCATTCACTCATTTCACTGGGGAGCAGAAAACCCATTGCAGTAAGCCAGCATGGAGGATGCCTGTGCCTTCGTTTTGGTTTCCAGATAACTTAATGTGTTTTATCCTATTACCCCACCCACTATTGCTCATTCTGTCTAGACTTCTGCTATCCTGGCTTGTGTGGCTCTGTTCCTGTTATGCCTTTGGACTTCACTGTCCTGTGTCTGAGGTCACTTTTCCCTCCCCTCCAAGCATTCTGAGCTCTGGGATAGTCCCAAGCCCTGCCCAGAGAGGGTGGACTGGTCATTCCATGGCCATACTCATGAGTGTTCTGGTTCTGTGGCATCTGCAAGGAGGTTTATTCCAGTTGCATGGAATCCAGCAAGACTGTGGCTGTGTCACCCAATATGCCACAATCTATGCTGCTTTCTCAAGCAGTGGGAAGAAAGGCCAGGAAAGCACTCTTGTCCTGAGATGATGGAAAGGGAGTGGCCAGTGTTTGGTGTGCTGGCCTTAGACACCATCCTTACTCCTCTCATTCTCTGTTTCACTGCCTCGAATTAGGGTTCCAGGGTTGGGGAATGAGGATACACTATTTGATCTTCAACCCTTTCTCAGACCCTCTTATATCCTATCAATGTGACGCCATCCAGGTTAGCCTCAGAGGGTGTCAAACCCAGATAGATGCAAAATTGAGCTCCTCATCAGCACCGCTGCCTTGGTCACGCCTTACACCAATGCCTGCAGCAGGGTCTGGGGTGTAGGCACCCAGGATGCTTTTTAAATGAATGAATGAACTGAATAAACAGGAAAGACTCAGCATGACAGGTACTAGTCCAGTGAGCTGACTAACAGGGCAGTGAAAATACCCTCCAGCCCATGCTAGTCTAACCTTAAGCTGTCCCCCCTGCCCTGGTGGGAGCATCATCTGCACATCTGGACAGTCACTGGCCTTGCACGGCAGGGCTGTGATGTCCTCTCCAGGGGGACAAAAGGAATTATTTTTCCTAGGTGTTCTCCTTTGTCAACCATCTCCATTCCCATTCTTTGCTGAGCACTAGGAATTAAAACAACTAAATAATATGATACAGGGACTTGCGTACAGCCTTCTTCAGTTCAGTAGCACCATTTCCTGACCATTAAAATTCTGTATTTTATTGTGATAAGACTATTGCAAGAAAATGGTGCTAAAGCTAATGACATCTGGTATCAACCTTTACTCAACTGGGCTGGCAGATAGCTGGCTACCATGTCACCTCTTACTCTGGAGCAGCCCATGGCATGAGTCTGGATGCTCCTTCTGTGCCACGGCTGTAGGTGGCCATTATTCTTCTGAGACCGAAGGTCACTACTTCATAACACCCATTTGTGATTCCTTTATTATTCTCTGAGCAGCTGCCCTCAGTCCTGGCTCTTTGATTGTGGGCTACCCTTGGAATGTTAACATATGGATGCGTTAAAGAAGACTTTAAGAAAGTAATGTTAAAAATGACTAGAGATTCTATTTAGTAAAGCAAATAGGATGGCATAGGTCTCAGGATCTATCTCCTTGGATTTTTATGATTTATAAAAAAATAAATGATTCATAACCTGTCTTTAGAAGTATTAATGTTAGTTCTTTCCAAATTAACTTGCGAACTTGTCTGTTTGTTACCACATGACTGTTCCATATTTGAGGGACAAAATAAAATTAATTTTTCTAAAAATTTCAGTCATGGGGCCTCTGCTTGTGATAGTGGAAAGTTCAGGAGCGGCAGGTGAATGTCATGATGGCCCAGTGTGTCAGTACATACTAAGATGGTCAAGGGGCAGATTTTTGTGTGATAGAGGCATTGCCACATTTTTTTCTGATTTGCCAGTTTTATATTACATGAATTGTATCTCAACACATCTGTCACACAAATAAGAACAAATATATTACAGGGTTTTTTTAAATATGTACTTCCTATGAGATTGCTCAGAGGGTAAACCACTTATCATGCAAGCCAAATAGCCTGAGGTTGACTACAGAACCCACATAAGAGTGGAAAGAGGGGGCTGGAGAGATGGCTCAGATGTTAAGAGCACTGGCTGCTCTTCCAGAGGTCCTGAGTTCAATTCCCAGCAACCACAAGGTGGCTCACAACCATCCATAACAAAATATGGTTCCCTCTTCTGACTTGCAGGGATAAGTGCAGACAGAACACTGTACACATAAAAAATAAATAAGTCTTTTTAAAAAAAAAGAGTGGAAAGAACTGACTCCATAAGCCTGTCATCTGACGTATGTGCTCTGTCATACATGCATATACAGTAATAATAAGTAAACATTTAAAAAGAAACAAGTGAGGCATTGCCCTAAGAACATGCACCATGGGACTAGGGGTCTGAGTACTTAACTTGTGTACAAGGCCCTGGTTTTGTGTTAGCACCACAGAAAGGAATGTTCACTGCCAAGCATTAGAGGGACATCTGTAGGGGCATCTTTTTTTGTCAGTGGACTTGAAGCGGTGGCCACATCCTAGGGTCGTGGCTTCAGGTGTGCAGAAGAGGGGGGGTTGGCTTGCTCTCTTGGGCTGTAGTCAGAACCCTAGAAGGGCAGAGACTGCATCTTTAGGAACAGGAAGACCAAAGCGACTATTTACTATTAATTGTGTAAGTGCTTCCCTAATAAATACCTGTCAATCATTTATCTTGGGTCTTGTGGACTCATTTAAACCCCGCCTTCAGACATCTGGGAAGGGCAGGCATGAAAATGGTGATGACAGAGTGTGGTAGATTTTGATTGCTGGCTAAGAAATGATCCCAAAATTTAAAAACCCAAAACAGCAAACGTTGATTCTTGCACACATTGCATAAGGGAAAGGGCTCATGGTTTAGCTGTGGGTTCTGCACCGGGGTCTTCCATGAGTCTATGGTCCAGCAGTTGAAGGAGAGATCATCTGAAGCTTGGATGTGATTGGACAATTCTTTCTAAGATGCTCATGGACTGGCTGTGGCCAGAAGCTTGGGCTCCTTGCCATGTGGGCATCAACAGTGAGTATGACACAGGCATCAGCCCTGTCCTCATGGGGCAGGTAATCTAGAGAGGGGCAACAGGCAGGGAACCTCAGAGCCTTTCATGACCTAGTCTTCAAAATTGCACATGGTCACTTCTGCTTTTGTTATATGCATTATAAATGTCCCTAAATTAAGCCCGTGCTCAGAAGAAGGAACCCACTTTTGAAGGGACCGTTAGATCTGTGCTTGTATTTTGCTACAATGGATACAATTCACCTCCTGGGGACAAGGTCATGTAAAACTGACATGCATTTGTCACACGCTGCTGTTTGAAAAGAGACGGCAGGAAAAGATCCCAGCTTTATTTTAGTGGTAAAACAACCACTAAAGCAAATCATCTGACGGCTCAGTGACTCAGATTCCCCCTCTGGTAAGGAGATGGTTGAATTAGCCAATCCCAACATGCAGTCTTTGTCCAAACAGAAAATTATTTAAAATGAAAACTGAAAGAATTTTTCTGTCTTCAAAAATCTTTATTTCAGGGTGTGTGTGCACATATGTGCACAAATGTACATATGAGTGCCAGAGAAGCCAGAACAGGATGTGAAGTCCCCTGAAGTCAGCTGCCTTGGGTGTTAGGAGCCCAACGGGGTTCTCTGGAAGATCTGTAAGGGATCTTAACAGTCGTTCCATCTCTCCAGACCCATTTTATGACTTTAATGTTTTACAAGATTCATTAGAGGAATAACTCAGTATCTACTAACATAAAACATGTTGTATGCATAATAGAATGTTTCCCAGTCACAAAAAGAAGTGGAGTTTTCATACATTCTAAAATGTGGATTAACTTTGAAAACAGTCTGATAGGTAAACGACACTGGACATGAAGGACAGTATTGCATAATTCCGCGTGCAGGAATTATTAAAAACAGGAGAATACAGGGCCAGTGAGACGGCTCAGTGGGGAAGGCACTTGCTGCTGAGGCTGGTGACAGAACTTCCACACACTGGAGGAGGAAGCCACATCCTCCTCCCCACGCCACGGTACACCTGTGTGGCCTTACCCCGCCCCGACAAACGCTAAATAAATGTTTTTTTAAAAGTTTTTAAAGAATAGGCGAATGTAATACCCGAGTGTAACATGTAAAGACCCGAGTAAAGATACCATTCGGGTCTCGGGGAAGCAGGAACTGGGAAGCTATTGTCCAGTGGGGACAGAGTGTCTAAGTGATAATGTCAGTTACCTGATACCGCGAATATAACTAGTACCATTGAAGGGATTATGGTGGTGGCTGATCTTGTCGACTTCATTAGACTGAGAGAAGATTGGTAAAGCGGTGTACATGAAGGCAATTTCAGGAAGTCGCTACTAAAGGGGGAAGGCCTCCATTGTGTACCTGGCCCCATCCCAGAGTGGCAGATCTGGACGGAGTAAGGGGGTGGGGTGGATAAATGCATCCTACTAGAGCAGGCGTTCCCATTCTCTGTGTCCTGTCGCCATGAGGTGAGCAGCATGGCAGGAGAGGTGACCAACAGCAAAGTTTTGTGTCGTGTGTGTATGTGTTATCACAATATAAAGAATTAGGAGAGGAGAGTACACCAGAGTTCAGAGCTGAGTCGTGGAGAGAAGCAGAGACCAGCAGGAGGAATGGCTAGGTGAGCCCGGGGGCTCCGTAGGCCGGGGGCTCGGTGGGCCCAGGGGCTCCGTGGGCCTGGGGGCTGGGTGGGTCTGGGACTCCGTGGGCCTGATGCTCCGTGAGCCTGGGGGCTCCGTGGGCCTGGGGGCTCCGTAGGCCTGGGGCTCGGTGGGCCCGGGGGCTCCGTGAGCCTGGGGGCTCCGTGGGCCTGGAGGCTCGGTGAGCCTGGGGGCTCCTTGGGTGGAGGGGGGGGCTCGGTGAGCCCGGGGGCTCCGTGGGCCTGGGGGCTCGGTGGGCCTGGAGGCTCGGTGAGCCTGGGGGCTCCGTGGGTGGAGGGGGTCTCCGTGGGCCCGGGGGCTCGGTGGGCCTGGGGGCTCGGTGGGCCTGGAGGCTCGGTGAGCCTGGGGGCTCCGTGGGTGGAGGGGGTCTCTGTGGGCCCGGGGGCTCCGTGGGCCTGGGGGCGTGAGACCTCATCAGTGAAAGCAGCTGCACTCCCACCTCACCCGCAGGTGTGATTTCTAAGTCACTAATGAATGGGTGGTGATGGGAGTCAACACCGTGGTTCTTCTGGAGGTGGGAACCCTACGGAGTTCAGATGCAGCCTTAGTCTCCTCAGAGGTATAAGCAGGTGTAAACACTCATCAAGATGCAGCGATATTATACTCTTAAGGGGTATATCTTATATCCACTTACAAAGGACTTTTAAGCAAAACAAGACACCTGCCCTTTGAACAGACCAAGGACCACACATTTGTCTTTTTAACGAACAAAGTGGGATTGTAAATAGACACAAACACGACATTTTCAGTCTTGTGGGGGATTTACTTTTTGACTATCTTAAAGAAGTACAAATGTTCTGAGACTATTTACTGCAAAGGAATATGAATTAATATCTGCGTGCCCACTCTACTGTTCCCTGAGAGCTTCAGGGGTGGTTTGGTTAACACCGGCTGGTGTGCCATCCGTGGAGCCACTCATGTAAACAGGACTATGCTGGTTTTCATTTGCACTCAGCGAATTAAATCTTAGATCCCTAGAGGTGGAATCATGCATGCCTATGTTGTGGTGTACTTTGGGAAGGAAAATGGGTAGAGTCAACCAAGGCTGGTGCCTACCCCAGTGAGGTAAGAGAATGAATGCGCGGGCAGATTCTCCAGCTCCCAAGGGTGGGGCAACAGATGCCAGAATGTTCCAGAATGGGGCCTGAGAGCAGAAGGGGTGTGAGGGCCTCCCTAAATGGATGAATGTAGCCTGCCGGTCAGTGAGGGAGTTCAGTTTATCGCAACATTTTCTGTCTTGTTTTTCACCTCCATGAGTTGACTGCTAACACAGAGGCCTGTAACTATGCACACTAAGACTTTGGTGTGATTTGAAAGGGTGACAGGGATTGAAATGATGCCTTTGGTTTTATGACGCACAGCTGGTGGGACTATGTGCCACCCCCAGCCAGGGCTTTGGGGTGAGGAGGAGTGTCCTCTCTGTGTATCCTGTAGTGAGTGCCCTATCACCATGGCCCACGGGTCCAGCTGTGCTGTTCCTGAGGACAGTCAGCAACCCTGAATTTCCCAGAGTGCCCCGCCCACCGCTGTCACTCATCCAGACCCACTCACTGCTACGAGACAACATGGAACTTTCCCCTAATTTCACCTGCTGACTCTGTAAACACTTTCAAGTAATGCTTTTTAAAACCACCACGAGAAAGGGAAAGTAATCAGAGAAATACAATGGATACAAATTGCTCTTAAATGTTAGCTCAGAATTATTCCCAGCCTGGAAGAAAGAACTGAAGTGTGAATAACCTTTCACCCAGTGAGCTGGGGTTACTAATGCCAGGACTGTGACTTGGCAGCACTGCCTGAAGGCTATGAGACAATTGCCGGGGTGTAGAGGCAGCCTGGAGTAGGGAGAGAGGACTTTTGCCAACTACCAGATACGGGGCTGATATGAAAAGAACTGCAAGACAGAGGAACAGTAAAGACAAGCCATCCAATCAGTAAATGGGCTAATAAACTGAGTGGAGTATTCTCAGCAGAATCAATACCAGTGGTAGGGAGATGGCATATTAGCCAAGTGCGCTTGCTGTGCAAGCATGAGGGCCTGCTTTCAAGTCTCCAGCACCCACTCAGAAAGCCAGGAGAGGCTGCCCTTTCTGCTGTGGGCAGTGGAGACACTGGTTTCTAGGACTTAAAGGCGGCACTCCAGGATCAGTGAGAGATCCTGTCTCAAGGGAGCAGGGCAGAGAGTGAGTGATAGGACATCTGAAGTCCTCTTCTGGGTTCTACACACATGCACATAGACACGTGCATACAACACACACACACACACACAGAGAGAGAGAGAGAGAGAGAGAGAGAGAGAGAGAGAGAGAGAGAGAGAGAGAGAACAAACTAACCAATGGATATTTTCAAGTGTTCAGCATCCTCAGCCGTCAGAGAAAACTGAGATCTTGTCTAGCATTGTAGTACATGCCTTTAATCCTAGCACTTGGGAGGCCGAGGCTGGCAGATCCCTGTGAGTTCTAGATTAGGCTAGCCAAGGCACCTTACCTCAAAAACAACAAAAAGCTAAAGCTTCGATTCCATCTCACTCCAGTTAGAATTGTTGTCATCAAGTTAACAAATGGCAAGTACTGACGAGGACAGAGGAAAGAGGAGAGCCCTCATACACTGCTACTGGGAGCATAAACTGGTGTAATCACTATAGAAGTCATGAGGAGGTTTCTCTAACTCTACAAACAGAACTACCATTTGCGCCAGCCGTGTCACTCCTGGGTATGAGCCTGCAGGTCTACATCAGCCAACCACGCAGCACTTGCCCAGCTGTGCTGACGGCTGCACTCTTCCACAGTACCCAAGAACCGGAAAAGGCACTGCCCTCAGTGTGAGCACATCACTCAAGCCTGCATTTAGCCTTCCCTTCCCATCATGAAGAATCTCTGCTCTTGCCATCTGTCTCCTGACACCTTCACTCCTCTAACCTGCAGTGACTTCCAGCTTTAGGACACCTACTGGTCCTGTGTGCAATCTGTCTCTTTTCTCTTTGCTTAAATGACCCATAGTTCAAGTCTAACTTCGATGTTCCCCTACCCTAACCCTAGCAGCTTTCCCTGACCCTGCTAAACCAGAACCCATGTGCCTGACCTGTCCACCTCTGAAATGGGCATCAGCATGTTATGTTTTTGTGCTTAAATGTCTTGTGTCTGGATTGTTGGATGAAATATGTGATGTAGCCCAGTGTTGGCCTTAAACAATGCTAGTGAAAGTGTTCGGTTCGCTGGCTGGTTATGACCTAGCGACTTTCTAATTCAGGGAGATATTTCAGTCCTAAATCCAGTGTGGCCCTTGCCCCCCCCCCCACACATCTTTGCTACCCACAGGCCATGTTTACTCAGCCCCTCTAGTAGCTCTGGGCTGCTCCTGCTCCAGGGACTTAAGCATCTGGAGACAGGGTTATCAGTGAAGGCTTTGTTTATCCCAGCTGGAAGGACTTCAGGACCTTCAACAGAGCAGGGCAAACCTTCACACCCTCCAGCCCTCTTGGAGCAGAGACTTTACCCTGGGATCAGGTCAACTCTCGACTTCAAACCCTTTTATAGTCTCCAGATTGGATGTGCTCAGATTTCCTCCTTCATCTTCATCTTCCAGGCTTCCCCTTCCACTTGCTCCTGCTGTATTTCAGATGCTTTCTTTCCTGCATGACCTTCCCTGTAGGACACCGGCTTCTGAATTTATGCCCAGTGCCGAGACAATTCTTGCAAAGTCAAGGGCAAGCTGTAAAGGCCAGGCAGTATGTTTCCTGACATCTTTTAGTTATCAACCCTGTCTGTAGAGACTTTTCTCCTGCCACAGGGTAGTGGGGGCTTTGAGAGACTATAAATGACTGAGATAAACTACTGGTATCCTTAAGGAAAGTGAACTTTATGGTCATCGAGATCATTTAGTGATTCAGCCTTTTCCCTCTCAACTGTTCTCAGAAATCAAGAAAATGGTCCCATACTAACATTTACCATATAAATTATCTATTGATGTACAATGATCTACCACAATGCTATATCTAGAAACAGAAAACACATACTGTCTCCCCAGTGTCTGAGTACTGAGAATTGAGGTATAGCTTGTCTCACTGGCAAAACACGCCTAAACCGAAGTACATCTTCCTTCCTTTAAGCTTTCTGTCAGGCATTTGTCAGAGCAACAAAATGTTTGGCTGGCATACACCCCCTGTCTTGTCATAGCTGTCTGTTAGAAGTCTGCTTCTGAACCCAGCACCTGCTCAGGGTGGGTTTCCTCAGAGGTGTGAGCATCAGACGATAAGAATTCCTAGGACTCCCTTGGGGACTGGGGACTGTGTCCTGCTCCCAGCAAACCACCTTCTCCAGCCTTACTGCTGCTCTGTCTTACTGTTCTCCCCCTGCCCCCTGCCCTGGCCCCAGGTGAAGAGGACAAGTCACTGCCTCCACCATTCATCCTGTCACTGAGAAGATGGCCCCCATCACAGCAGTTCGTGAAGCTGGGTGTGTGGCTTGCAGGAGAACCACTGAGACGCAGCAGTGTGGGCAAAGACCAGTGCTGAGACAGCACTGAGGGTCAGAAAGAGACTTCTAGAAGTCTGGGCTGGAGAGCAACACTTCTGCAAAACAGGGCTGGAAGCTGGGGGTTATACTCCTACAGTGGAGCTAAAAAAAATGGAACCCTAAAGTATCTCACCCTGGCATGCCGACTACTTTGAGCTGAAGTGAAGGGGCTCCAAAGGAGGACCTCTCTCTCTCTGCTGCGTTTCTACCTTCCCTCTCTCCACAATCTGATTGCTCTTGTCCAATCCAATGTCTGTGCAGCTGTCTGGTCTCCATCAAGCCTAACCATAAAAATGAACGGCTTTCTGTGAGCCATGGAGACTTGTTTCTGAAGACTCCACTTGCCCATAAAACTACATTTAAATGGATTTGTTGCATTTTTTTGTCTTGTCGCTTGACAGACCTGAATAGCTGTTTTAGGATTGAGCCAGGTCCAGGTGATCATAGAGGTCAAACTAGTCTTGATAAGTACCCCCTCAGGGTCCTCTTAGAGCCTTCCAAAGGTTTTCTGACTCTATGATTCAACATACTCCCTTCCACTGAACTCTTGGGAACTTCCTCTGCTGGCTCCAGTCAGTCCTTGACGGGGACACATGGAAGGTACAACTCCTCTTTATGGGATGGCAGAGGCACTGGCTTGTTCCGGTGTCCAATGTCTAATCTAATCTCTGTTAGTGCTTGGGGAAGCAAAAGTTGTCATAACGTACTGTTGATTGATGAACCCCTCCCCCTTTTATGCAAGGTGTCCCTGTACAAACAGTCTGCCATTATTAGATCAGTCCTTTCCCAGGAACCTTCTCATCTTCCCTCTGGTTCTGCTGATCCTCTGATCCTGTAAATACGCAGAAAGATAAAGCATTAGATGGGCACTTGGGTGGGGCAACCAGTGAAGTTGGAGAGCTGTTCTCTCTCTCTCTCTCTCTCTCTCTCTCTCTCTCTCTCTCTCTCTCTCTCTCTCTCTCTCTCTCTCTCTCTGTGTGTGTGTGTGTGTGTGTGTGTGTGTGTGTGTGTGTGTGTGTGTGTGTAAATCCATTCACTAAGAAGAATCTGGCAGAAACTGGAGCAGTCACTAACAAGGAGAGAAAACTTACAGGACACAAAGGGCTTTTCAAAGGAAGGTGATTTGAATATCAAAGGTGCAAGAAAGGCCCTCAGGAAACTGATGAAAGTCTTGGGTTTTTTTTTTTTTTGCAAAAACATTTCTCTCTATCTTCCTGTCTTTGAATGTAAAATGAAGGAAGCCGTACTGTGTATCATATAATAACATCAAACAGCTAATGCCCCAAAAATGGACTCATTTTTTTAGGCTAAGAATGAATACATATATTATTATGCATCCCACAGCCACTTTGAAAAGCACATAGAAATTATCTTTCTGATTTGTTTGAAGATGAAGTTGCCCTATGAGTCACTGACATTTTAGATGGGCTTAGATAGCAGGGCGAGGGGGTGCCGGACTGCAGGCAGATCCAAGGAAGGAGAAGAAAAGTGTCAGGTGGTAGCAATGACCGACAGGATGTGGACTGGAACTCATCCTGTTGTCTCAGGTGTCCGCCGCTGCTGCTTCAATGTGAGTCCACGAGGAGAATTCTGAAGAGAAACACTGGGGATGCCCATCTGCTGCCTAAGGAGGGGGCGGGAAGCAGGAGGGCCGGAAGCAGTAGTGAGCTCTGCGGTGGACCCTCACAAGAATCACAAGCAGCTCAGGCTATCCCTTCTTTATTTAAAAAGGGAATTTCCTCATGCAAAGCAAGCAAAGATGGGGACCCAAGAGCCCCACACTTGGCAATTCTTACAAGAAAGAGTAACTAGGTGGCATTACACCTTGGAGGCAGGAGACCATAGGCTCGTGGTGTACAGGAATAGATGCTAAGGCTTGAGGGAGATGAGACTGACACCTGGATCTCAGGGGTCTCTGAGAGTGGGAGGCTAGATGAGTCTGATGGCAGGATGGGGGGGGGCTGGGAAGTGGGGTGGTAGTTTGTTCCCCAGATCCTAGCCCAAGTCAAGCCACGAGATTTTCATATACTTTACATGGTTAGAATGCTCAGGTCCTCCCAAAATGTGCAGAGTATGAAGAGCCAGGACTTTAGGAGGCTGCATGATTCCAGGGCTGGCCTCATGTGCTGGGTTAGTGCCTTATGAAAGAGACGAGGAAAGAAGCTAGGATTTTTTTGCCCTTCTGAACCTCTGCCATGTAAAGACACTTGTGGCCTCCCCTCCCCCACCCCAAAGAGACAGCATTTCCTTAGACACAGGACTCAGCCTTCACCAGACACTAATCTGCCTGCCTGAATTTTGAACTTCTACCCTCCAAAAACATAAACGTGTGTTCTTTATAATTTACTCAGACTAATATTTTGTTATAGCAAGAAGAGACACAGTTGCTGCCTTGTGGGAATTCCAACATCAACTAGTTCTTTTCTGTCTTGGGGATTCAAACTCCCTGTCCATTAGCAATAGCCAGCTCTGATTTGGCTGGCCAATGTTCAGTTATCAATCATTCACAGATCTGTTGCCAAAACCAATGTTGTCCAAACCCAATTCTATATTATAAGTAGATGGTGCCAGCTCTCAATCAGATCCAAGGACAATTCCCTAGCTTAATGAGATCAATGTGTCATGACTTATGTTGAAGACTTTTGGCTGGATATTTACTTACATTTCTGATATTCAGATATTCACTCAACTCCCAAAGGAATTGGGATGGGAGTCAAGTGCCATTGTTCTGTCTGGGTCCTGACTGCAAGCGATCCCATGGTTTGGTGGTAGTGATGGTGGTGGTGGTGGTGGTGGCGGTGGTTGGTGGTAGTGGTGGTTTTCTGAACCTTGCAGAAGAAAGGTTGTACCATTAACACATACTAAGGGGTCTCTTGGGTGTCTGTTTATGATGTAAAAGAGAAAGGCGGGGTTAAATGCTGTGTAAGGACAGAGAGATAGAAAATTCCACTGGATCAAGGAAACAAACTGTGACTATCAAGCCAGGTGACATTTTTTCTGCTCTTATTCAAGTCACCTTGAAGACTATTCTGAAAGGACTTTAAAAATACCATAAGCCAACGTGACTTCATTTGAATAAAAGATGCTTTCCCACCCAACATTTATTTGGGTTATACATTCTAATATATTCCTGCCTTTGGTAGCTATCACTACAGTCCCTAAAGTCAATAGGCTGAGGCAAGAGGGTCATGAGTTCAGAGTCAGCATAAGCTATATCACGAGATCATGCCTCAAAAAGGAAAAAGAGAGTTTTTTCATTTTACAGCCACAATCTAGACAGACATTCATGAGGGAATCTGGGTAAAAACAAAGTAATTCTAGCTGAGATGATCAAATACACTAATTTTGAATGTGCATCTAGGGGCCTACTTTGTGCTAAACATCTTTAAACTTGCCAATCCAGAAGAAAGGAGTTGTTTTGTTTGTTTGCTATGGAAATCAACAAAATGTTAGTTAAAAGCCATAGGTTTTTAAACTACAAAACAGTTTAGGTTTGACTTCTATCCAAGAGCTAGATCTTGGGGCTGGAGAGACAGTTCAGCAGTTAAGAGTGTATACTGCTCTTGCAGAGGACCTGAGTTCAGTCCCCAGTGCCCACACTGGGCAGCTCACAACCACCTGCAACTCCAGCTCCAAGGGTTCCAATACCCTCTTCTAGCATCCATGGGTACTACACTCACATGGACAGACACACACATAGGTATACATGATTTTAAAAAAAGTGTCCTCAACTCAGAAGCATATATACGTAAATCAGAATGACACAGAGATTAGCATGGTCCCTGCTCAAGGATGACATACAAATTTATGAAGCATTCCATATTTTAACAAGTAAATAAATAGGGGCTAGGGAGATGGCTTAATGTTTAAGAGCGTTGGTTGCTCTTCCAGAGGTCTAGGATTTGGATCCTAGAACCCACATAGCTGCTCACAACTGTCTGTAACTCCAGTCCCAGGAGAATACAGCACCCTCTTCTGGCCTCTGTGGGTTGCCTGAGACATGTGATGAGTAGACATACATGCAAGCAAAATACCCACACACATAAAAATAAGTAAAAACAAACTGAAATCTTTTTTCTAATGCTGGGTCTTCTTGAGCCTTGAAGTTGCTGAGGCAGATGGAGTGGATGTGTTTCTGGATGCCATATATTAAATTAAATCAGAGCTATCATGTATCAAGCAATCCATAAACGGCAAGTCAGGACACTGTTCATGCTCAGAGAGACTGTCCTGATGGCATAGGATATTTAGTCGAGGAAACTGTCCTGAACTCTCTCCTAGCCTGTCTTTCACTTCACACTCACTTTAGCATCCAACCCAGCAGATTCGTTTTATGTGCCATAGGCTATGTGATATCTGTCCTGGACACAGAGCTGGGCTTGACCCCTGGTTCACCCAGAGTATTACAGCCACATGGCCTCTTGCCTTCTTGCTCTTGGTTGCTCTCAGAACCTCTTCTCAGCCCATACACCAAAGCTCTTGGCCGCTCTCAGAACCTCCTCTCAGCCCATACACCAAACTAGGTCGACTTTCCTAGAGAACTACCAGAAAGCGTAACAATTTGGGACTCCTGTGTTGACCTCAGAGTCAAATACAGTAGATTGGCATGGCAGGAAGCAAACAAAAACACTTCTACACTTGTTCAGATTCTAATTTGTTCTCTTTCCAGAAGTTATCTTCCCAAAGAAGCCCGTCTTAGCACATTTTCTGTTGCTATAACAAAATACATGAGGCCAGCATGATATAAAGAAAAATGATTGCTTAGCTCACCATTTAGGAGGCTGAAAGTCCAACATTAGGGACAGTAAGATGTGGGTGAAGACACTTGGTGCCAAGCCTGATGACTTGTGTTCAATGCCTGAAAGAATGGACTCTGGCAGATTTGCCATTTTCTCCTGACATACACTACCTTTTTTAAACAGGAAAGTCCAGCGTTGACCTCAGGTGAGAGCTCCTTGGCTGTTTGCAATATGGAAGAAGCTAGGGAGGGAGTACAGACAAGACAGAAAGTCAGATGTACCAGGGGCTAACTCGCTCTTTTACATTAGCTTGTTCCTGGAACTAACCAGTCCCTTGCCAGAAGCAGTCCCTTCTGAGGGCTAATATTCCCCATGACCTAACCTTCCACCTGGCTCCACCGTTTAAACACTCTATCACTTCAGCATTGCTGTGCTTAATTCTAAGCTCCCAGTCCATAAACCTTTGGGCTGCATTCTCAAACAATAGCGGAGTCCCTCGCAATGCCACCGTGTACTAGAGACATGCCTTTGCCTCATGTCTTCTGCGATAAAAACCAACACAGGTGTGTTTTACATTCCCCATGTATCCAGTGAGCCAGAGTCACTGAGTGGACCCTGTCAGAGGTCCCTAGGCAGCTGCCTGAGAACACGCCCCTGCTCCGGGGTGGAGCCAGCGCCTCCCAGGCCCATCTGCGTGGTGTCAGCAGCTCTTTCCCCTCATGAAAACCACAGATGAACATACGTTTGGGTTTTCCACCTCTAAAATTAGGAATCAGAGCGAAGCATGCAGGGTGAGAGCCCAGTGAGTTTGCCCGGATGATTATTTGGCTTCATCTAACTCTTGGTCTCACGGGAAGCAGACAAAAGCAGCCTTGGTGAAAATTAGACCAGACATTTTCCTCTCTATAAACACAACTTGAAAAAAAATGTAAACCAGCATAGCTGGCAGGATCTTTGCCCACCCCAAATGCAGGCACTTGGCATCAAATTTTACTTAGAGGCATTTCAACTTGAGTTTCCTTGGATCAATGTGGAAGAGAGAGACAGGTTAAGACCTGGATAAAACTGGTCTACCTTACAGTCCAGTTGTCTCTGCAGAAAACAGTGGGGCTTTGCATGGAAGGAAACCTCATGGAGTGGAGGAACTCTCATGGCACAGAGCCCTGGATGTGTCCCAAATTGAAGTGCGGCTTCCCTGACCCTGGGCTCCTGGACAGATGCTGCACCTGGCTTGATATTTCAAAACAGCTCTTGGACAACCAGGTATTCTTCTGGAAACTTCCCGCGCTAATAGTCTGAAGTGTGCAGTCATGACTACCCCCGTCAACAGGAATGAGCTAGAGATATCGGATGTTTGGCCAGATGCTGTGTTCTGTGACTGTCCCCAGCACAGGATGGCCATTGAGTAGAGCACTCACTTTCTTGTGGTACACAGCGCAGGCTGTGTTTGAAAGATAAAGCCGGGGAAGCTGCTTTGACTCTGAGAGCTATTACTTTTCTATCTGCCCCGGGGAATGTTGCCTTTCTTTGCCTAAGACAGTTGGCACACCTTCAGAAAAGCAGGGCCTTCCAGGACGGCTTAGGATGCTGTTTCTGGTTGGTCCTTGCCACAGGAATCATCATTGAGGAGTCACCAAAGGGTGTGGGCTCTCGGTGACTAATTGGAGGCAGAAAATGAGGAAGGAGGTGACAATCTGGGGAAACGTGTAGCGATGAGGAGCGCAGGAGAAGTGAGGCTGGCTGTCCCAGTGGAGACCTGGGAGCCATCCCCAGTGAGGAGAGCTTAGGAAGAGGGTTTGGGCTCCTCAGCAGGGAGGCTCTGTAAGTGGGGAAAGAGGCACTCAGGTCAGCTGAAGCCCACACACAGATGCGTAACCCTGTGGTGGGGAAGCTAAAAGAAGACTCCACCTTCGGAAAACCACACTCATCAGAGAGTGGCTTGGACCTGTGACACGGGCTGTTTCTGTGATTCAACGAGGCCTCTCAGAGACGCTGTTGTGAGCCTCAGAGGACGGTAGCCTCTGGGTGTGGAGTCCTTAAGGCTTCCCCTGTGCTCCCAGGCCACTGCCACCCAGTACCTGTTCCCCAGGGAAGTCCGGCCAATAGTAAAGCTGTCTATGTGGCAACGGAGGCCACCATGCAAGGCTAAGGATCCAAGATAGATGTGTTTGTGGTTTGATTGAGGTTGACCTTTCCCTCCTAGATGTAAGTTTTACCTTGAAAACAATTCAGATAATATAGTTAAGTGTTTTGGCAAAAAAAAATGGGGAAATGATCCAGATAAGGATATAGATATGGAAAATACATATATTTGCAATTTACTTTAAAACATGTTAAAAACAAAGGACGAAGTTCACAGCACAGGTATGAACATGAGGCTGGCCTGCCAATTGGTGAATCATTTGCATTTTAAGCAAAAAACCTAAAAATACAGTAGATTGATGGTGGCTATGGCGGACATTTACAATAAAACATGCCTAGCAAAATGCAGTTTTCAGATTTTTTTGCATGTTGGAAATTCTTATAATAAAATACCTGGGAGGAAATCCACATACTTGGCTGTCCAGGAGGGTAAATGGCTCAGCATGCTCAGATTTGGGGCTGTCGAGTATAAGAATGCAGGCCTACTGGATTCTGGCTGTCTGCTGGGGATCCTGTTGTCTCATTTGTTCCAACAACTGCCTAGGAAGGAAGTGTCAGGGCCTTCACTGTGTGGAGGACAAACTCAGAGACACGGAGTACATAGGACGTTTCTCAGAGCCAGGTGCCTGGCAAATGAAAGAATCGGGATTTGAACCACATTGACCAACCCCAGACCCGAGGCATCACACACACACACACACACACACACACACACACACACACACACACACACACACACACACCCGCATCACACTTCCCACTTGGGAAGCAGATGTGTTTGCTGAGGCCTAGCTGTGGCTCTTGCAGAAGAGAGGGTGTGAAGTGAGGCTGCCTGTGACCCTTCGTTCTCTTTAGCAGACCTCGCCTAGGACTGGCACGTTAATTGTTCCTATATTTTAATGGCTATCCAGACTACCCCCTGAGAGTTTTAGTCTGTTCTCACCTCACTTTTCCTTCTTGTTTCAAACAAATTTATGTATGTAACATTTTGACATGAAGGAAAGGCTATATAGTATTTTTTAAAGAGTGATTTGTCCCCACTCGAAGACAAATTGTTCTTCATGTAACACATACATAAAAGCAATAAAATTGTCCTTGCTTTTACAATGACAAATGTAAAACATTAAAATTCTTCAGTGAAACAAGGTCTGCAAGGACTTTTTAATGGTTTGGCTTTTTTTTTAACAGTAAGATATAATTTACCAGGATACAAAGAACCAAAAGAACATGCCCCAGTGTAGAAAAGAAGTATTTCACAAGCCCAGCACTTCTCTTCATCCCATCCCCTGATACTGAGTAAAACACACCATGGACCACTAAATGTGATACACTTATACACAAGCACCCGTGAATCTATGAGCATAAGGGCATGGGGAGTTAAAGAATGGAAGAATTGTTCTACAATAGGATGTAGTGACCCAAATGATGGTGCTGAATTAAAACTGTATTCTTACTGGACAGTGGTGGCACACGCCTTTATCCCAGCACTCAGGAGGCAGAGGTAGGTAGAACTCCGAGTTCAAGGACAGCCTGGTCTAAGAGTGAGTTCCAAAGCATCTAGATAGAAATCCTATCTCGAAACAACACAATAACAACAAAAGACCGAATTCTCATTTGTAGGAGCAGTGTCAACAGCAGGCTCATGATTTAGGAGACTGCTCTCTTCCGAGGCTGGACCGCATCCTGTGTTAGTTGTCAGACCATCACAATAGAGTCTCGTCTGCATCACTGAGATACCCTGCCAACAGAAGGATTTCGTGGCTCCTTTACTAAGTGGTGCACAGCTGTTCACCTGCACCACAGACCACCCTTCCCAGCACCTTCAAACCAAAGAGGTCCTTGTCTTCAGGCTCTGTTGGTCGGTTATGATAGGTGTTCTCCAGAACCTCCTCATTTGCTACTGCCTTACAAAAGAGGTATGAGATACCCTTCAATGGATCTGTTTC